AATGTGCATTACTTACCAATTAAGTAATGACCTAGCTCTCCAAGTACGTATCCAACTGAAACTATGGCTAATGCGTACGGCTTGTACAAGAATTGCAATTTCTGTGCTGCTGTGCTCAACATTGTGTTCTGAAAAAAAAAAGAAAGAAAAATTAAATTTATTAAATGATTATAATTAACGATGGATAACAAAGTTAGGATAAAAATAAAGATGGAATCATCACTGCATCATGATGCTATTAATAATATTTTTTTTATCTATTTCTTATGAAAAACATCTCACGTATATTTTTTATTTTTTAATAAATTTATATTTATTAAATATAATTATATAATTCGAGTCATAGTGTATTTCAATATATTTTTTATGTATTTATTTATGTATTTTAATATTTTTACGTGCGTAAAACAGATATATAGCTTGCCATTAAATGTAAATTGTATAATGCATCAATATATACAAGTATGTGAAAATTATCTCTCATTATTTTTTAAAAATTTCCATTTGATTGTAAATGTATAATTGCCAATGGATATCTCTAGTTTCTATCCTAAGTATTAATAGGATCATTATTTTTTTTGCATATTCATATGTCCATTATTGCGAAGTTTATCGAATTATCACAAATGATAATTAAAATTTTCGCAACAAAAAAAATGAATTGTTTTGAATATTTTTTCACTGTTAAATAATTTATGAGCAAGTAAATAAAGTAAATTTATTATTAATAAGGATTACAATTAGATAAAATAAGTAAAGAATTTATGATAATGATATAAATTTATAATTTATATCATGGCTTAATTCGAATTAATTCGAAACTAACTAATGAAGTTATTACTAGATAAGTTATTATATTAATAATAAATTTTATCTATTTTTACTAATCAATGTATAGAATTAAATAAAATTGGGATAGAATTCAGAATAATAAAAATTGGAAAAATCGAAAAAAAATAATTAAAAAAAAATATATATTATTGAATTATTTCTTAAATTGTTTAATTACGATTATAAGATTATAACGTTAACATTTCCATAATGTTACGGTAAAAAAAAAAAATAAAAAAATTATTAAAAGTTATATCATACTAATCGATAATAAGTCTAAAATTAAAAAAAGTAATTTATCATTCATGTATTACAATTATTAATATATACAAAATTATTAATATATACACATATATTCAATTGCATTCTAAATACATTAATGAGAATTATTTATTCAAGGCTTGTCTGTTTTGTATTGCTATATAATTATATATAAAATAAAAATAAAATTTAAACACATGTACATATAATATTACTTTATATGTACAGTTCATGAACAACAGTAATGAAAACAGAAAGCTATTAAAAATAATTTGACGTTTCTTATTTATCAAGTTCAATGTTTGATGCAATTTATATTTATAATACCGCTGATGCCAGATCATTCAAGTTTTTTATTTTTTAAAAGGGAAAGAATAAGCTAAAGTATTGATTATTGAACGAATGAATAGCTAATGTTTGGTACAAACGTCAATTCACTTATCCATAGACTTCTAGCATGTGTATCATGCAACTTGGTCACCTTGAGCCAAAATCATTGAGACGTAACGAATATTATCCTTTTAATAATGTTAATTCCGTCACTCGTGATAATCGTGCCTTAATACTATATTGGTAAAAGAATTTGGTGAATATCTTCCTTTTCTAAAGATGGTTTTTTCTTTCCATTTCAAATTAACATATTACATATTACAGGATAAAAAATTTGAAATTCTTTTTTCAATTGTATTTACATTAAACTTTTTATTAATTGTTCTATTAATTGTTCTATTAATGAGTGTATTAAATTTTTATTACGAAATTTTTTAATATAACACGTTTTAATAGAACATAAGTTTTTTTAAAATCTTCATTCATTATCGGAATTTAATTCTAAAATAAAAAAATAATGGAGAACAGAATTTTTTGAATTTATATTTTCATAACGAAGATATTTTTATAATCATATTTTTTTATCAAAAAACTGCATTTATACGCAAGTGTATATTTTATCTTCCAATTATTTGCATGTGATTACAATGATTATAGTTTTAATGATTTGTTAAAATATTCATAATGACTTTACACCAATTAAACATTCTGGCCAACTGATATACATTGATGCATTTTATAATCATATGTTATTAACTTGTTGAAGATGAGATCATGGTACATTGGATTTTTAAACAATCATAGATAATCCTTTAATGAGGAAATTGATTGTAAAGTTAACGTAAACTAATTAATTATTATCGTTGATTTGAAGGAAATTTTTTTTTTTAGAATTATATATGAAATGCATCAAATTGTATTTGAATTTGTTAATTTAACTGATAATTAATTTTTTTTTTATAAGTATTTAATTCTGTTCAGAATAATTTTTGATTAAAACATGATATACAAACCAGTTAACCTCTAAATTATTTATAATATTTCTTTCATTTATAATATTTCATTTGGATAATCAAAAATATATTGAATTAAATAGTATTTACACATTGTCATCAAGAATACATCGATCTACTATATATATATATATATCGATTTATCTCGTTTCACATATTCATCGTCACACAAATAGTCAATGTCGTTATTATAATCGTAAAGCATCGAGGAATTGCATAATCGATAGAAACAGAATCGATTTGCAATTCGAACAACCGGATGTGTGGGATCCTTTTTTTTCTTTTTTCTGAAAAACTACGAACTTAGATTAACGTTATAAAGATGGAATTTGATAGAGATAAGAAACAAGAGCAACGGTGGCACGATGACAGTGTAATATAGTTTTCTGTAATTACTGGTTGATGATAAATCGAAGGTTGAACGAGCCTTATGGGCGTATACTCAGTAGTTAAGAATGCTGATTGGTGATTGGATATGAATACACCAGACCCTCTCTATTAAGTCACCTTATAAATTCTTCTACTATTATAAAATCACCAGTATTTATAATGATAATGAATAATGATCAATCTTATTTGCAATTCAATTCTGATCCATAGATATTTGTACATGTTTATTATTTGAATTATAGCAAATGAATTGACGATTGTTGACGATGATTTTGGTATTTTTAAGGTAGATTTGCAATTTGTTATTTATATATACAATAATGCATAAGATGGGATTTGCGAAACATCAACTATATGTAGATAAATATTTTGAGAATCGGAATATTTATCAATTGAATTGAATATTAAATGAAAATGAATTAGAAAAAAAAGAAATCGCGAAATATTGACTTTGCAGAGACAGTTTTAGAAATTGATAATTCCGCATCGGTTAAGAATGCCAAAATTGCAAAAATTAACTGCGTACATTATTGTATATAATCTTTATCGGGCATAAACACTTCACGCATGACTTGTCTTCAAGTTATTGCTTTACGTGAGAGCTGAAATATTTATATTATTATAAAATGAGAAAGTAAAGTTTTGTACATATAGAAATTCCACAATATTTGATTTTATTATTCTGAAAACATATTTTCATCCTATATGATGAAAATACAATTGTCCTGTCAAAGATGATAAATATAATAAAATAAAAATTGTCATGTTACAGATAACTTACGTCTGATAAGGGTTACATGATACACATTTGTCATGTGATCTATATATAACATGTCTAATTTATATTTTTTTTGTAACAGATATTTCGCAAACACTGCAAAACAATGTTGAAATTGCGGCTCGATTAGACGTTCACTGTGCCCACACACTGGTACAGTCTTAATACATACATAATGTTTTATAATTGATTCAGATGGGTAAATAATTATATGAATTGAATATACAGCAGATTATTTAATACAGTATTAAAAAAAACAAAGAACAACATACGTACTATTTGTTGATATTTGTATTTATTTTGTTGTATTATTACGTTTTAAACATTGTTTGAAATGAAAATATATGTATAATTTTGCTGAACTATTAATTTTTAGAATATAAATAAAAATTGAAAATTTTATTTTCAAAAAATTAATTTGAATTTATATATACTATTTTTTTATATGTACAATTAATTGTGTCTCAATTTAACGAATCATATTGTAATGTTTATATATTTATGTTCATTATATCAAGTAACGAAGCAATGCATAATAAAACAAAATAAAATTTCACACGTGCATACATGCATAATGCATCTTATATATATCTCGTAAATCATTCAACTCATGGTTAGTCTGAAACACGAAACGCAAAGCTTTTTGTAAGAAATCCGTATGTGAGTCGTATGGTTTGGAATGAGTTCCGGAATGCAAAACGCTCATGTTCGTAATTATATGGCACATGTTATTATGTGTAGGAAGGCGTTTGTTATTCTTAAATATCAATTGTTATAATAGATAATTTTTTATTCATGTCATTGAATTTTTATACTTAACTATTAATAATTATAAAAAAATTATTTTATAATATTTAATTGAAAATTGCATTAACTTTTTTTTATTATTTTACTTTTTTATTGAAGCATTTATTAAAATCTATTAAATTAATATTTTTAATATTTTTATAAAGGATATAACTTATAATCAAAATAATTTAAATTTTTATTATTTATAATATTGCAAATAAGTATAATACTTTTACAATATATTTAATATAATCAAAAAAATTAGTTTAAAAACTAGAAAGAATAAAAAAAATACGTAATGTATAATACATAGAAAAACTAATTGATATAAATCGATTAATGATTTGTAATTATACCCAAGTTTTATTTTAGAATAAAAGTAAAATATAACGAATGTTTATTAAAATGAAAGTTTATGTTATATTATATAACTTATTTACGATATTGAATATTCGTAAATAATAAAAATTAATTTTATATCAATTATAATATTATAATTATAATATTTATATTTATTATATTTATTAGATTTATATTGATTATACATTTTTTACTTCTCTCGATAAATATTATAAATCTTTAAAACTTCCAAACTTTTTTTTCACTCTATATATTATTGGAATATTTTTTTCAATTGCATTTACTATCTATTCATAGAATTTTTTTATTTTACTATCTTCACGAAAAAATTTTTTCAGATAACAAAATTCTAAATATTTTTTAAATTTCTAAAATCTTAGACCATGTTAATGATTCATATTGTTTATGTTTGATTTTATCTCAGTTATTATAATTAATAATTTATTATCGTCAATTACTTACCTATTTATCTTAATCGTTCAATGTGAAAAAATAAAATAATTAGTAAATCACTATCAATTGTGCACATTAAAATAAAACAAAAAGATCGAAAATATTTGTACGTAGCCGAACGTACACATGAAGATCGATCCCTCTGACTATGAGGGATGGAGCGTTAAATGAGAAACAAGCTAATGGTCAACCTTCATTTATAAGAAAGTGTCCAAGGATCGAACCTTCCGCAGACTCTATCGAGGAAGGGGCAACAGAACCTGTGCATTAACAAGTATTTGAGAGTATTCGTTACCTGGTGGGAGATACATAATACTCTTGATCTTCGATTTCCAAGGTCCTTTCTATTAATCGCTTATATTTTCTTTTTTAAAATCAAAGGTTTTTAGAGATTATAAAAATTATAAATAATAAATCAATTTTTCATTCAAATTTCAGAAAATTTTTATTTATTATTATTATTTAAATCATTATAAAATACGATATATTTTTTTTATATTTTGATCTCTAAAATATTTATTATTCTCTTAAAATAGAAAAGATTTAAATATTATTAAAAATTTGATAAGAAATTTTGTTTCTTAAAAATAAGAGTTTTTTTATTTAATAAAACGTGAAAAATTTTGAAATATAATTCATTAACTTTGAATATCAAGAATTATTATTCTTACGAGCAAGAATATATATATCAGAATGATAAGTATATGATAAGTAAGATGATAAAAACTTTTCTGAAGCTTATTTTTTTTTTTTTTGCGATTCTAAGAGTAATGTCATGTTTTTGTAATTTATAAAAAAATTATCTGATATTGAATCATTTCAATTATTCGCTATTAAAATCATTCAATTCAATGTTTTCTTACATTAATAAAAAATCTATTCATGTATAAATTAGTGAATGAAGAAATGCAAAAATATAAATTGTCATACATTAATAATATATAACAGAGAATGTTCAATATATCAGATTGAAAGTAATTAGAAAAAAAATCTCAAATTTTTTATTTGTAATATATTATGTAAATTTTACATATATATATCTATTTTTAAATATACAATTTTATGAAGAAATGACAATGATAACAATTTGAGATATCCATTCCAGTTGTCTACGAATGATATAAGATGATATTATCGATTACAGTCCTTGAACAATAACAATTACATATCCTTCTAATGAGAAACAAAAGCCTGATTCCGAGGTGATTAACCTGTACGATTATTAAAACGATACGTATGGCTTTTACATGCTGCATTATCGTTTTAACATTGACACACTTTAACAGATTGATTCTCATGCCAGTTAATACTATAATATGGAATAAACAAAGTTCAAAGATTTTCCTTGAAAGATGTTATTGTAATATGACAATTTCAATAGTACACATAGAATGTGATTCCATGATTCAAGAAAGATAAAGCCACAAGAATCTCTTTATGTACATTATAATTATCAAGTTTCCTAATTATTTATAAAAACAATCCGATAAGTTTCAAATGAATAAATATGCAAGTGAGAAATTAATAAGCAACAAAATTTTGAATGAAATATATGTACATATTTATGTACATCTCTTGCAAACATATTGAATATGCTATTAAAAAATTTAAAATTTCTTTTCTAATGAATTTATATTAAAACTTTTGTTAATTTAACATTACAAAACAAAATTTTATTATTTTTTACTAGTTTACTATTATTATTTAGACTTTTACATATGACACATATATGTAAATAAATATATATAATTATAGCTGACATAAGTTATAAATTTTCCAAAATATTCCAAATACAATATCTTTGAAATATTATTCGATTAAATTATAATTTATTCGTGTTATATTTCTACATAGTTATTTAAATTATCGAAGATCAATATTCACAAAATACACATTCCGGTCAAATTCTTCGCAATATCGAATCGTTCAAATGAAAACAAAGTGGTATAAATTATTATAAATTGAAAGGAATCCGATAGGCGAACATTCAGAATTTTATAGGATATTATAGTTTATTATAATTTATTAAAATTTTAATAAACAATTTGATATTTTATAAAATAAATTCTTTACATTTGAAGTATATGTAAATATATACTTGAAATATTCTTTCTTCTATTACAAACAGTGCAACAATGTTTTAGTATTCCATAATAATAAATCAAAATTTTATTCAATCCTACTTTATCTATTTTTTATAAAAATATATTTATATAAACATCTTCAGTCTGTCATTTGGATCTTCATTCTCTTTAAACTGTGTGAATTTATAAAAAATCTTTTATATATTGATACGAAAGTGATGCCACCTATCCAAGGGAAGAGACTATAAGTTACCGTGCACCTTCCCATACCAACCTTTCCATACCACACGTGAAACGCAATTGAATTCTTGTATAACAGGAAAAATCGTTTACGCGATTTGTGTCGCTCGAGATTCACAGGAAATCAAGGAATAGAAGGATGCAGTACGCACTCTCCCTGTTATCGACCATATCAAGATTAAAGCAAGAATCAAGGGAGAACGAATGATAGCGAGTGATACCGAATTCACCCGAAGGGTTAGTCGTGTTCAGAGTTGTACTTTTCACGAATACTGGATGAATAATACTGCAACTCCTTTGCATCATTCGAACACATTATCAACTATATATATTTTTCAACATGTTTCGAAGTTTCATCAAAGAGTTAACTATGTGTTTGTGAAATTTTAAATACACGTGGATTTTCATTTAACTTGAACTTTATTTAGGAAGACATTTATTGGAAATGTGATCGAGGATTTCTTATTGTATTATTGAAAATAGAAAAAAATATATTGTAAAAATTATTATGATCAAGTAAAAGATTAAAAGATAATTTGAAAAAATGTTAAAAGATTTTATCATCATTTTGATGATGTCAATTCAATTTCTATAAATAAACAATAAAATATAAGATTTTCAATAATGATTTGTCTGGTGTAGTGTTTGCTCGGTGCTGCGGTTTCTCAGTTTAACGTAGTTATCGATCATGCAACGATACATAACGGAAGTACAAGTGATATAAATATATATAGTAATGATGAAGGAAGAAGAATCAATGAATATCTTAAAATTCAAATTAATTTTCTGGTGAGGTGAACTCGAACTTATATGTATGTATTTGTGTTTTCGCTATTTTTATGGAGAAAACTAATCAAAAGATCGAAACATGCGTGTTTCGAAAAAAAAAATGTTTCATGGACTGGATTTATTGTTACATCATTAAACAAATGGATATTTGGTGTTACTAATTGTATGATGTATAGGAGAATAAGAATGATAGTTGCTAATTCGTTTATAGATGAAGAACCATGACGAACATTGGTCAATGCTACAACACAGCTGTAGAAAAGTAAGTTTATAATTTTCTTGTTGTTTAATTTTTTATTGAAATTTAAAAATTTTTTTATTTTATAATATCTTTTTTTTTATTTTATAAAAAGTTCTTTATATTTTATATTGGACAAAATAAGAGATATTAAATAAAAGATAATATATCAATAGATAGTAATTAAAAAAATTAATGTTATATGTTTCATTTGTTCACTTTTAATAAAAATATGATTAATGTAATACATTATTATATCTGTAAATATCTGTAAATATTATTGTATATATACGTGCAAGTTTAAAAATTTAATTTGAATTTTTATAAAATAATAGAAATGATTTAATCAGAAAAATATATATATCTTTATATATAATTATACTATTATTGTGTATTACATTATTCATATAATATTTATATATAATTATTTAGATATAAAATTATATATTAAAATTATACATCAATACAAGAATTTATTTCATTATTTCATTATGATAATTATTATGATTATTTCATATTATAAAAATTAACTTATTAAATTATTATCATAAAGTTATCTATATTTATATATTTCCAATAAAATCAATAAGTCTGTTGTCTTATAACGACATACAGGATAAAACAATATTATCGATTTCGTTGTATTATATTAATAAAAATTATTATAATATTAATAATAATTCTACATATTAAGAAAAATTCTAATAATTATTAACAAAATATATAGATTCGACGTCATTATGTGAAACTTATTGATAATTATTATTATATTATATAATTGATATAATATGGTAAATAATATTTTTTATGATTATATTATCAATATTCGAAAAAATATTCTTAATTTCTCTGAAATAATTTTACATCTTTTTTATATCTCTGTAACGACACGGATTTTACTTAATGTTAATAATAAAGATTGATCAAATGAAATAATTAATTATTCATAAATGAATTGCAGTTATGTTTATAAAAAATAAATAATACCTAATTCGATTACAATTTATTGTAGAAAATTATTTTTAATTATTATATTTTCTTATTATAAACTTTTATCAAATTTTTTACATATATAAATAAAATTTTTAAATTATTTCTTAATATGCCCTTTCATCTATTTATAATTTTAAATTTTTTAAATATCATTTTTAAAATGTTTTACACTTTTCGAACAATTTTTTAAAAATGTCATAGATAATGTAAATCAAATTGAAATAATGTGATTCATATATCAATTTGCATTTTCGATCTAATAACAATCGATCACGAAGCATCATCACGATTGATCGAAATCCTTCTACAACCGATATACTATACATTAATGTGCTCATTATATATGATAGCAATTCTCCTGTTGTAAGTTCTCGTTCAAGGTTTCTTTAGCAACTACGGAATTTCTATCTTCATTCGTTTCTTTTTCTCTGTTTTTCTCTGACTCTTTACATATTTAACAAGATTGCAATCCGAGAATTGCTACATCATCTATGCAAAATGTTCACAATATATTTATCAATAATACATATATCACAAAAATTATGAACAATTGATTATTTTATATATTATATATAATATATAATATATTATATATTCTTCGAATTGATAATAGGCAATCAAAATGTTGATTGTTTCGAAATTAAGAAAAATTCGAAATGTTCGACTTTTTAATTAGAAATAAAATTCAAGAAATAAAATCTCTTTACTTTTTATTTTTCTTTTTCGATTTTTTAATTATTTTTTTACATTTCTATATTATTCAATAAGATTATTTTTTGTTCTAGATATAGGTAACCGGCAGATAAACAGATGGAAGGTGAAAGAGCAAAGAAGG